TCAGTGCATCTTATCAGTGCCCATCACTACAGCCTCATTAGCGCACATCAGTGAAGGAGAAAAAATCACTTATTTACACAATTTTAAACCAAAAACTAAGAAAAAACCTTTTTTTTTTTCCAAGATTTTCTGTGGTTTTTGGTTTGTTTAAGAAAAAATAAAAAACCCAGAGGTGATTAAATACCACCAAAATAAAGATCTATCTGTCACAAAAAAATTATAAACATTTCATATGGGTACAGTGTTGCATTACCGCGCAATTGTCATTCAAATTGTGACAGCGCTGAGAGCTGGAATTGGCTGGGCAGGAAGAGGGTATGAGTGCCCCGTAGGTAAGCGGTTATATGAACATAATTTGTTCTGTTATCTTACGGGAAAAGAATTTGTGGTTGTCTCCTCGGATGATCTGACATGAACTGCCGTGATCGGCTGTCGAAAGTTGTGTACTGACAGTCAGATTATCAGGCGATCACTCCAAAAACGATGGGTTTTTTTTTGTCTGGTATTCTCTTCGCGTGTACTAGGCATAAGGGTTGCTGAGTCTGCACTTAAAGTGTTGCTAAACCCACAAGAGTAAAATCAGTCTGTATATACAGGAAAGCATGCTTGTTATACCCACTGTGGAACCTAAGGAGTTAATCTTTTACATTGTGTAAAAAGGATGTTTGATCCTGTCTTTTCTGATCCTCCCCTTCCTCCACTGTCCCCAATATATTTCCAAATAAAACAGAGGTTTGCGGACAAGCTGCACATACTCAGTTTTGGTGTGTATTACTAGAGAGTTCTATTTTTTCTTGGGAGAGTGCATGTGATCAGCACAGGGCCAGTCAGCACTGTTCAGACAGAAGGTCAGCAGTACTACAGCCTCACAAAGGAGAATGAAAACTCCTTCTACAAGCTTTAACCAGTGCTCTGCTGGACACTGACAGAAGTCACAAGACTGCTCTAACGTCCGATGAGAAAAGGTAATTAGCAGTTTTATATTTACTAAAATAATTGCATTTCCATGTTCTCTGCACTGTGGGAGACCAGATATAGTAGGTGCTGGGTTTTTCAGTGACAGGTTCACTTTGATTTAAAATATATATTTTGTTAAAACAAATGTCTGTTTTGTTGCAGTGTTGAAGAGGATAGCATTTTTAAAGGGTTTCCTAAAACAAAGACTGGTCTCATATATGAGCTCTCCCGTACCACCACCAATTCTGCCTATATCACTAGCATATTTATTAGTAAAGGCACAACGGACATTCCATTTGCCCCTTTTATCATACAGGCTCTTCAAGCTAACAGCCTGGGCAAATTTAAAGGATTTGGCTACTTCCTGGAATACATTTTCAGCAGCAGATTACACACTGTTGATTTTGTGAGGACACTGCATTAGAATACATATAGCTTAAGGCCTAATTGAAGCAATTACGGACTTCTCTTGTCGTGATTTAACAGCTGCTTAACATTTTGGCTATAGAATAAGATCTGATGATTTTGCAGTGAGAACACTCTGTACAACCACTTCTTTACCATGGTAACCTACAGTTACACAAGTATAGTTTTACCAGACTAATTAGCAGCTACATTTTTGGCTCAGGGTGGAAAAAACATGTTCTGTATGATGAAGAGGCAAAATCTGTGCTTAAAAGTCTGTTCATATATCTTTGTATACTTTCTTTCACCACAGACAGGTACAATGACAGAATAAATCATATCTGTTCATGAACCTTCACAAATACTGTGTTAATCACCAAGCTGTAACTTTGAATATTTTGGAAAGCTGGCTCAATATCACTTTGGGCAAATGCACACTGAACGCCCCATTTAAGTGCATGGGCAGCAGTCAAATTTTGTGAGCCAAAGCAAGGGGGCAGTGTGATGCGCATTTCAGCACATAACACAGTTTACTTTTTCTTTTACATTTATTTAAAGTGCACAAAGCGACACTTCACTCATGACTTCGCACAGCAACGTAGTGCATTATGCTGCTGTACAGCGACATGCAGTGCCTACCTGTTCACTGCTATAAAATGCTCCATGTCTGCATTTTACCATAGCCCAATGCACCACACCTCCAGGCTGTGTTGGTGTGCAAACAAGGCATATAGAAGACAACTATTTTCTATGTGTCTTAGTAGTGACTGGCGTTTATCCAATGTGCAACAATGCCAATTTCCAACCCTCTTTCTGAACAAGCCCTAACAGTTGACTGGATATCCAATATACAGTACCTGATTTTGTGTATATAATACATGTGCTCTGGATCGGTCAATCTAGCAAGTTTAAATTAATCTAGAGGAGAAGCAAGAGAATGAGGGCTGTGCAGGTAGACACTGCTTGACTCATGGAAGAGTGGGACAGTTTTTCTAATTCACATTGACTGATGAGCTGACAATTTGCAGGCATCTGTCTACCACCATAAACAATAGATCTGTTGAACTGTTTGTTGTCCTATGTCTATCGACAACTTTATATGGATACACATGCAAGTGATCTGCTTCTTATCACATTGAAGAAATGTTTGAAAGATAGATTTGGTGAAAGCCATAGTTATTTTTTATTACAAGGTTCTCACAGGCAACACACATTGCTTGTATCCTCAGTATTATGGGGTGAGGAACACTTTACTGATGGACGAGGCCCTTTAAGACAGGGGTCTTGGTGGGTGCCTGCTCTTTTGTGCAGTGAAGGGTTGTCATAGTACCGGTGCGTGCCATGTCCCACTTGTTAGGTGGAGCCAGGCTTCACTATCAGGGGGCAGTGCTATGGGGGGGCCAGAGATGGAAATGCAGGGTCATAAGGAGAGGATTGCCTGAGCAGGGTGTATGAATTGCAGTGACATTAGCAGTGGGAGTGAGTGGGCAGGTACGAGATTTAGAAGGTGCAGGGGAGGCCATTCATTATTTCTGTGAAGACAATCCCAATATTTGTATATTTGTTTTTAGAGGTCTGCTTCACTTTGACAAAACTGCAAGTGGGACTGAGTTGACAGTGAGGGGAAGTTGTATTACTGCAAGCAGTGTTGGGGAGAGGAAATGTGGATATTGAAGATTGCAGAGCATAAAACCAGACCTCTCAAACCTCTTCCACAGGTGGCTGATTGCAAGTGAAGGGTCAGCTTCACTTTACCCACTGTCCATTCTGGCTGGGCTAGGAATTTTGGTGTGGGAAGCTGGGTGCAAAAAGATCTCGTTGGGGTGTGTGAGAGCTTAACTGAGGGCATCCTCAATTTTTGGGTGGTGAGGTAAGGTGTCAATCTTCAGGAGAGCTCCATAATATTAAATGTCTGAAATGTAACAAATAAATTTGTGACAACCAGAAATTTTGCCATAATGTCATTAATTGGGTTATGACTTCCTGAAAGAGGCAGAGTGAACCATCCGGACTTTATAGTGTGACTGTGCACAATACTGACTATATTGTTTCTAGCCAGTGCAGTAACAGATTTTGTCTGAACAGCGATTAAGAAAAAACGTTGACTATGACACATATTACATAGATATTTACATATGTACATGGAAGACAACTAGATTAGTTACATACAGGTGTGTGCATTTTGCTGAGTACTAATTAATTTTTACCTCCCCACTTATTTCCCTGTAAATCAATGAGTTCAGCTACCACCTATGATTTGTGGAATACAACACTATATGGTTTATCTTCATAGATTTTATCTCAGCAAGGATTTCACAAGAATGCTGACTGCATTGACATACAGATTATAAAAGGAAAGAAAAGCCTGTACCTCTATGCTAAAAACAAACATGAAAATATTAAACACATAAAAAAGGGTGACTACACAAATTCCTTTAAGTAAATTATACAATAACTAAAACGTTTGTAACTGGGTCCACACCAGATATCTGCAATGAATAATAAAAATGGACACTTTTTTTGCGCACCTATGATTTTTAGTGCACGCAAAATACTACTTTCATAGCATGATCCTGATCTGTCCAAAACATGCTTAAGGAAAGAACAGCATTGAGGCGCTTATGCCACTTTTCAATACTAGGTTCTAGCTACTCACGGAGCCTTGACCTGTTTTCACGTTGCAATTAAGGCTGGCCATACATTATTCAATTTTCTTGAGATTTTTGCTTTAGATTTACCAAAAACCATATAATAGGAGGTCAAACCCAAACAACACTTTCAGTTGTATCCAATCAGGCAGGACCTTGCACTACATAGTTGAAGGTAAATCTAAAGGAAATTGGACAGGAAATTGTATAGTGTATGGCCATCCTTAGCCTGTCCCCAGCCTGCACTAATCCCCATACCTTTTAACTGTCAAATGAAAAAGCATCAGTGAGCAGTAAAGGCTCTGGCAGTTGATAGCTGAAAAAGGGGGTAAAGTATACCACCAAGTGAGGGGCAGAGAGTAATCTGCATAGAAGTCAAGATCCTGTGATAACATTGTGCACCTTTTTTACAGCCAGCTGGGGTGCATTTTCATGATAACCCTGTCAATTATGGCTAATATATCCAAAGAGATTGGGGTCAACCCTTTATAGTTAAGGAGGAAATGACCCACCTTGGAGCTCCAGGAGCAATTACCGTTAGATGCAAATATGCATGACATACCTAAACCAATGCTAGCTATATACGTTTAGATTATTTTTGTTCAGGCCAACCCCCCCACCTGCTGAGCAGGCCAAATTGTAATCCATGTATAGTAAGCTTTCGTTTGTCCTCATCCAGCAATGTCAAATTCATGCTCCCCATTGCTGTCAACTTTGTGTATTCTACCCGAACACGGTCTTCATTCTTTGCCCACTGATTGGCCAATAATCTTGAAACATCAGTTTTTGCGCACTGGACTTGCATTACCACAGCCTGGCTGAACCAATGGCATATTACAGGATGCCTGCACTACACATGCGTAAGCAGTGTACAATTAAAAAATAAATATTAGAAAACACAGTCTCTAATACCAAAAAAAAAATCTTCCCAATTATTTTTCCAAACTTCAGTTCCACTTTAACCATTTAAAAACCAAAAACTATACTTACGACACAGGGCCATGGCAATAACTATGAATCCCTTCAAGTACTTGTGGAGGCACTACTTCTTTGCAAAGGTAATGGTGTGCATCTGCTGTTAATCTGTAATATCCATCAATCAGTGACACAAAGGATAGCGCTTCCTTTAAAGAAGTAAAGTCTACCTCCTGGAAAAAAAAAAAAAGTAGTCAATACTGGGATAGCACAGTTCTTGACATACAACAATTAGATATAGGGTTAAAAAAAGCAGTAAAAGGTCAACAGTATAGCATGCATTTCTTACAGAGACCTATGAACAGTTTATCAACTCCTCAGTTAATATACACTGTAGCAAAACTTTCACGGTTAGATAAAGAATTCACACTCAAAATTAACTTAAAATAAACCCCAAAACACAAAAACAGAGATAATATGCTACCAAAACAATACAATGGACACTGTATTTATCTGTTGTAATAGAATTAAAGCAGACTTGCACTCAAAATTGAAAGTACTGATCATCACTCCCCAGCCCAGCGAAGCATTGACTATGGGGAGGACAGCACTGGACTCCATGTAGCTGCTCACTTTTAAGTTAAAGTAGTTATAAAGGCTAAATATTTTTTTAAGGTAAAAATTTTTTTTAGATTTAACTCCTCCCCCCTAAATATTTACCTGTGCCTGATCTCGATCCAGGGCTGCTCTCTCTCCCTCCTCACTGGCTCCTGTCGCTGTCAATCTAATCCAGTGATTTTGGGGTGGCGGGGGGGGGTTTCGCCAGGCCGCACTGTGTGTTAATAGATGCACACTGTGCGGCTCAGAATCATGCCTGCACTGAGTGCCCCCATAGCAAGAGGCTTGCTATCGTTATGGTGGTACTCAAAGGCAGGAGGAGCTGGGAGTGCCAGTGGAGGACCCCACAAGAGGAGGATTGGGGCTGCTCTGTGCAAAACCATTGTACACAGCAGTTTAGTAAACTGCATTGGTTATTTTAAAAAGAAAAAAGATTGTTTACAAATCACTTTAACTTAAATTACCCAATATTAGCTAAATGTAATATCGTTCATGCCATCTCTGGAAGAAGATTTTAGTCAATTTAAAATATATTAGCGTGTCCTTGAATTACCTTAAAAATGAGCGAACAAAGCCCATACTGATGCTCCAGAAAACATCTCAAAAGCCAATGTTCTGGATATGCAAAATAACCGTGTGGTCTTTTGACATTTTCATTTTATTTATTATCCAGGGCCCTCACACATTTTTCAAAACCGTTAAGTGGATGTACCTTAAAAAACATTAATGCAGGAAAATAATGTACATGGCCCCTTCAGCTTTGTAAAATAACTGAAAAGCGTTAATCCACTAGCTGTTTGTTGATTTAAAAACCTGCACATCCTCTGAAACTGTATGATGTCAGCAAACTGATGTCAGTATTTTACAAATGAACGTTTCTAACAATAGGTATCAGAGCACTTATTGTGCATAGCATGTTTGCAAATTCTAAAAATAAAGCCCAGCACTGCTGCAAATCTATTGTGCACCTCTGCAAAGCATTACTGTCCCTGCTAATATAGAGGAAGGGGTGTCCCTCCTGTCACTCATTCAGCAGCCTATTTTCTTTGCACAACAGCTACAGGAACAGCAGGAATGGCAAAGAGCTAGCCTAAAGCTAGTCACTGGGTAAATATAACTTCACACAGAATAGTTAATAATAAAATATATCTTTGTATATTGAACATAATGTTAAAAAACTATACCCTGAAACAAACCTTTTCAGAAAGTGAAGGGCTCCCTGTCTGCTGGTCATGTGATGAGAAATGCCAGCAATCTGCCTCAATCCCAGCCTAATTTACTGATACATGTTTATCCCTGCCTGGTCAATTGACTTTCCTGCAGAGATAGCTAGGTCAGTGAAAGAGTAATATAGTTGGATATGCTCTGCAGACATATTAATATTCCCCAATCTGACTGTAAACAGTTGGATCTGGCGAGCATTCCATGCCTCTAGACTCAATAAGGGCTGGTTTACAATGAGATTGATGGGAACGCAGCATACATGCAATTCCCACTCGGTTATGATTTGACAGCCCATACATCTAAATGAGCTGCTAAGCGCATCAGGTCATGGGAAAAGTAGCACATGTGCTACTTTTAAAAATGCACTGCACCAAGCTGGGTGGTAGTGTGGTACCATGCGATTTAGTGCCTGCAAACGCAATGTGTTTTGCAATCTGCTTCTGGGGTGCCATTAACAATACATTGGCACCTGCATTCAGATCGCAAGGGCAGTGCAATCACCTGTGCTGAGAGCAATGCGCATAGAACACAGCTTTCCTGTATCGTATTCTGGTGTGCATCAGGGCCTGTGTTAAGAGGGGCTTTTGCATTCCTATACACATCTATGGGGATGTCAAACTCAAGTCAAATGCAGGTTGAATGCACCTGTCCAATAATGATCTCAAAGCATTTCAAACAGACTTGAAGCAGATGCCGTTGTCACAAGCCCAAAGCCCATTGACACAGACCCAAAGGCTATTCAAACATGATGGATAAGGAAGCCGCACTCAGAAAACTCAAAGAATATAGGCATACACAGTGAAACCAGCACCACTGCTATGTTAGCATATTAGGCAGAAATAAAACATTAGCAGCCAATTAAAACATAAAAGTGCACTTACATTTCTACTGAAATCAGTAGACAGATCTGTCTTCCACAACTAAAGCTGCAAGGCAACTACAGTTTCCCATATGTCCTGCCAGGCTTAGCCTCTATCTGTGGCAGAGGATGACTGTCTGGCTTTAATATGTAAAGGACTTGGACCAAGCAGGCAGATCAGAAAATTCAGAGTAAAATCATAAGTTCTTATCTGCATACCTGTTCCAGTGTAGTGACCAAGTAATGAAACAAGCAAGTACCCGGTGAGTCTTCCAGTCCCCTTCGATTCCTGTAGCATTCTGTCCACACCAAGCAAGAAAGCACATTTTTGCTGGTGTGGTCAGTTTTAATTTCTCAGCTGCCCGATTCTGCAGGATGATGCACTAACAAATAACATGCCTGTGGTCCCATAGTCAGTTTTACTGCAATGCTCCCCAGCCACCCATCTTCTGCATGACTGGACAGCGGCATTCACGACTGTCCTATGCATCAATTGCTACCTGCCCTCAGACATGCCCCCTGCACTCAGGAAGAGGTATGGACAGAGAAGGCATACAGTGTGTTTAAAAGTTTACTAGAATATAGTTGGTTTTTTTTAATATGATTGTGTGCTTTCTTTACTTGACTTCACATAAACTTTAAGCAATAAAGTAAAGCACATTTACATCTTAGTAGGAAGGAAATCAAGTGTCAAAATAGAGCCCATTTTCAGGAAGGAAAATGAAGTTCTTTGCAAACAGTTGTCAACATGCAAGATAGCCTGCTGTTCGCTGAAGAACATTGTCTGACACAGGAAACCTGACATTGGTGAGATCTGTAAGAAATTCAATAGCCCAGTTCACCACATGATTATCAGTTACAAAACACATAACATAAGCAACATTTGTGTCTACACATTGCTTACTTTCCCACCCATCAAGTCACTGTTACCCTTGTTTAAAAAACATCTGCTAGCAATTGTATTTTTTGTATTGCTTCGCTGCACAACCCTCATTTAGGGGTCACACTAGAATTCTGTATGGGAAATCCACATTATGTGTGCGTTTCCCAACCTCGTTCAAAATGCACTAGGTGTGTGATCTGCTGTGGTTCCTAATGACACCCCAAATGCAGATCGCAAACTTAGCGCAATTTCGAAAAGTAGTGCATGAACTACTTTTGATGCAATCCAGTGCGGTATCAGTCTATTCCAATAGTCCCCTATGTTATAGCATATAAGTTACAGGTCCTCTTTGATTGTTATGTGGTTCAGAGCATAGTTGCTAGGAAACTGCCTTCAAAGCAACAAACATCCTTTTAGAACCATAAAATGGAGGGATATTAAAAATGGTGATTTCAAGTGGGGTAAGGAAACAGGAGGTACAAATATGAAGCATTTCAACCACTCTCACTTTGCTCTAAAATCAGTGAACCTGTGCCAGATCGTGCACACTAAAATATTTACATATTCAGTAGTAAAAGTACTTTAAAGAGGAATTAAACTTTCTCAATCAACATTAACTATTTTAATCCTTATGCTGCTTGTGATGGAATGCCTGTCACCCTGATTGGGTGATTGCGTCACAAAACTGCTTCCTCGCCGCTGGGAAGCAGGAACAAGGTATAATAGCTGGGCATTGCATCCAAGACTAGGCGACACTAGCTTAGATGAAAATGGAACCACTTTATTGAACATGAACAAAGGTTTTTATATACTTCAGAAATAGGGGCAGTCCCCCATATGAACCAATATTACAAATATTATACTTTGGGATAAACAACCCACACTGATTAGGTAAAAGCTTGATCACATTACCCTAAACAATGCAAACTGTAAACAGTACCGCCAGTGGTTAACAGTGATCTAATTATCAGTAAACTAATCAACAGCCAGGCACTCAGGCAATTATTATTTAATATTATACAGTATTTATAAAGCGCCGATAGTTCACTCAGCGCTGTACATTACAAAGGAGGACAGAACATGTGACAGAACAATACCAATACAATGCAAAACATGAGGGGATTGAGGGCCCTGCTCTTTCGAGCTTACAATCTAGAAGGGACGGGATAGTGGTACAGGAGGAGATAGCTGTGGGGGATGGAGTGGTAGGAAGAGTGGAGGAGGTCGGTCAAGTTAGCAGGGGGTAGGCTTCCCTGAAGAGATGGGTTTTCAGGGTGCGCCTAAAGGAGAGGAGAGTAGGTGATAATCTGATGGGTTGGGGAAGGGAGTTCCAGAGGATGGGTGACACCCTGGAGAAGTCCTGGAGGCGGGCATGGGAGGAGGAGACCAGGGAACTAGAGAGAAGGAGGTCTTGTGAGGAGCGGAGTGTGCGTGCTGGGCGGTACTTGGATATTAGGTTGGTGATGTAGTTCGGGGCAGTATGGTGGACAGCTTTGTACGTCAGTGTTAGGATTTTAAATTTGATCCGTTGCGCAATCGGAAGCCAGTGGAGGGATTGGCAGAGGGGGGTGGCGGAAACGGAGCGGTTGGAAAGGTGAATGAGTCTGGCAGCCGTATTCAGGATCGACTGAAGCGGGGATAGCCAGCGGCGAGGCAGGCCAGTGAGGAGGGAGTTGCAGTAGTCGAGTCGTGATATGATGAGGGAGTGGATGAGCTGTTTAGTGGTTTCTGGGGTTAGGAACGTGCGGATTTTGGTGATGTTGCGGAGGTGGAGTCTGCACGAGTTTGTTAAAGATTGGACTTGGGGCTGGAAGGATAGGTTGGAGTCCAGAATGACAACAAGTACTCTGGCCTGCAGGGCGGGTTTGATATTGGCGTTGTTGGATGTGATGGAGAAGTCAATGGGGGGTGGGGTTCGGGCTGGGGGGAAGACAAGAAACTCGGTTTTGGAGAGATTCAGTTTAAGGAAGTGGAGCGACATCCAATCTGATATGTCGCTCAGTAGGTGTGTGATTCGGGCAGAGACCGAGGGGGGTGAGGTGGGGGGTTGAGAGATAGATTTTTTTGCTTTGATTAATCAGGGAGCCCACCCCAGACAGACTGGCAAGAAGCCCAACCCTGAATACACAAAGTCCAATACACATGTGGTCTTTCAGGTGTCTGCTTTCACTTGTATAATCTGTCCATCATAAAACAAAACTCGTACAATATTCCAACAGTTTAAAAAAAGTGAGATTCATTTATCTTCATAAATTTCTTCAGGGAGGGTGGTGATAAATACTGTATTTCTTCCCAAATAGAGGAGCTTCTCCAACCCAGTCTGCATGAGGGCCACCATATTTCCTCTGACCATTAACCTGTACAAGATTAATATTATACCTTTCCTTCCACTCCAGAAGGGAAGATTTATTGTCTTTATGCAGAGAATTAATCCAAGCCTCACTCTTAGCGTTCATCACAATGTTGTCCATCATTCGAGAATGATCTGCTCTCTCCATCTCAGAGCAGGGCAAGGCTATCCCCTTGTCCCCTCTAAAAGTCCCTGTCCTGGTTGGGTCTGTCACACAGCTAGCATTAGCAAAATAAATAGGAAAGTATATCATATTTACTGGGTTTTTTTTTGGTTTTTTTTACATTTCTTCAGTTACTTCCTTGCAAACAATGTCATAAATCCCAGGAGTCTTCAGGAGGGGAGAATGGTTTTTCTTAGCTAAGCACACCCTCCTGCATGCAGGCCTGGCAGATGGATTTCAGGAAGTACAGGTGAAACTCGGAAAATTAGAATATCATGCAAAAGTTCATTTATTTCAGTAATGCAACTTAAAAGGTGAAACTAATATATGAGATAGACTCATTACATGCAAAGCAAGATAGTTCAAGCCGTGATTTGTCATAATTGTGATGATTATGGCTTACAGCTCATGAAAACCCCAAATCCACAATCTCAGAAAATTAGAATATTGTGAAAAGGTGCAATATTCTAGGCTCAAAGTGTCCCACTCTAATCAGCTAATTAAGCCATAACACCTGCAAAGGGTTCCTGAGCCTTTAAATGGTCTCTCAGTCTGGTTCAGTAGAAATCACAATCATGGGAAAGACTGCTGACCTGACAGTTGTGCAGAAAACCATCATTGACACCCTCCATAAGGAGGGAAAGCCTCAAAAGGTAATTGCAAAAGAAGTTGGATGTTCCCAAAGTGCTGTATCAAAGCACATTAATAGGAAGTTATGTGAAAGGGAAAAGTGTGGAAGAAAAAGGTGCACAAGCAGCAGGGATGACCGCAGCCTGGAGAGGATTGTCAGGAAAAGGCCATTCAAAAGTGTTGGGGACTTTCAAAAGGAGTGGACTGAGGCTGGAGTCAGTGCATCAAGAGCCACCACACACAGACGGATCCTGGACATGGGCTTCAAATGTCGTATTCCTCTTGTCAAGCCGCTCCTGAACAACAAACAATGTCAGAAGCGTCTTACCTGGGCTAAAGAAAAACAGACCTGGTCTGTTGCTCAGTGGTCCAAAGTCCTCTTTTCTGATGAGAGCAACTTTTGCATGTCATTTGGAAACCAAGGACCCAGAGTATGGAGGAAGAATGGAGAGGCACACACTGCAAGATGCTTGAAGTCCAGTGTGAAGTTTCCACAGTCTGTGTTGATTTGGGGAGCCATGTCATCTGCTGGTGTTGGTCCACTGTGCTTCATTAAGTCCGGGGTCAATGCAGCCGTCTACCAGGAGATTTTGGAGCACTTCATGCTTCCTTCCGCAGATGAGCTTTATGGGGATGCTGACTTCATTTTCCAGCAGGACTTGGCACCTGCCCACACTGCCAAAAGCACCAAAACCTAGTTCAATGACCATGGGATTACTGTGCTTGATAGACCAGCAAACTCGCCTGACCTGAACCCCATAGAGAATCTATGGGGCATTGCCAAGAGAAAGATGAGAGACATGAGACCAAACAATGCAGAAGAGCTGAAGGTCCCTATTGAAGCATCCTGGTCTTCCATAACACCTCAGCAATGCCACAGGCTGATAGCTTCCATGCCACGCTGCATAGAGGCAGTAATTGCTGCAAAAGGGGCCCAAACCAAGTACTGAGTACATATGCATGCTTATACTTTTCTGAAGTCCGATATTGTTCTATGTACAATCCTTGTTTTATTGATTGCATGTAATATTCTAATTTTCTGAGATTGTGGATTTGGGGTTTTCATGAGCTGTAAGCCATAATCATCACAATTATGACAAATCACGGCTTGAACTATCTTGCTTTGCATGTAATGAGTCTATCTCATATATTAGTTTCACATTTTAAGTTGCATTACTGAAATAAATGAACTTTTGCACGATATTCTAATTTTTTCGAGTTTCACCTGTAAATGCTACATCTGCCCTTACTCAAGATGGCCATGAAAAGCTAGGGAGGTGTTTTTCAAAGTGATTACTCAGCAAAGTAAAGCATAGAGACATGGACGGATGGGGGAGTTTGCTTTGAGTATTAAAAATGAATTAAATAGCATTTTCAGTTTGTGGTACTCAGATGCAGTTTAGTTCTGCTTTAAAACGTGCCCCAATCCATCTCCCTGTCCTTCCATTATGGAGAAGATCACTTTCAAAGTGCACAGCATATGCATTATCATCTCAGATTTTTCTATGAAGGCCAGTTAACACTGGGATCCTACAAGAGCATGTTCCACATTCCTGTGTGATTCCAGTACATTCCCGTGCAGTGTGATTTTGCAGCCCATTCATTTAATGGGCTGAAATTGTACCAGAGCACAGAGAAAGTAGAAAAATGCACTTTAAAAAATGCGCCACACAAAATTGCATGGTACTGCGTTACCATGTAGTTTGGTGCCCTCAAACACACATTTGTGATGCCATTAACAATGCATTGGCACCCAGATAGCAGAGACAGGGCACCCAGATCGCAGAGGCAGTGTACCTCCAGTGCACAGAAAATGCCTTTGCCACACCGCATTCTGCTGTAAAGCAGCTCAGAAAACATCTTCGCAGGCTGTCAAACTTCTAATGTAACCAGTTAGCAGGTGATTCTAAGCTGTTAGGCCTAGTTTGCACATGTTTTCCGAGAGGGTGTGAAAAATAGGCAGTTGTTTTACCAGCCCCTGACTGCCCCCTTTAAGCTGCAATGGCAAGCAGACAGGAATGCACATATCATGACTCTGGCTATATTTATTCCCCATTTTGTTTGGTGAGCGAAATCGGCACAGTACACGACCCATTCAAGTGAACTGTGCCACGCTGCAAACATTCTGCAATAATTTTACCAGGTTAAAACAGGCAGTAAAGAAGCAACATATCCCACCCCTTCTTCATTTGTCCTTCATTGAAAAAAGTAGTTTTATGTGGTACACTGAATATAACACAATCTCTGAATTGGGGAGATTCATCAGACTCTCTCCCATTCAATGATTGTGTTACATACAGTGTACACTATGAAACAACTTTTGCCAATAAAGGAGGAGAAAGTAGGACGAGCAGGGAGTGTCCACGTTGGGAGCTTGTTCACTGCAGCATTACTGGCAGGAAGAGGACGGGACATCAATGCACAGAAGATTTCTACAGGATCCAGCTGCCTGCACAACAAAGAACCTAAGTCATTAAAGGTAAGTTAGGTCACTAAAGCTAAAGTAATTTTTTGAAGCTAAACTTCAGCTTTCAAGCTTTTTAACTGCATATTAGGAATAAGTAAAATAGTTTTCATATTCATAATCTCGGTACAGGTTCACTTTAATAAGAATGGTTACTTTTTTGGTTTATTTTTAATATAGTTTTGACTACACTGTACAATGTGATGCTATGGATACAAGAAAAAGGGGCAAGAAAAAAAAAAAAAAGCGTTTATTCCTAGGATCTCTTGGAATAGGCATTGACTTGTAGGTTGCAGGTTAGTAGCTTTTTGACTAGTGCTAATGTAAAATAGGCCATATGTATGCAGTCCCATGTACAGTAGTTATCCTCCCAAATCCCTAAGGCTAAGAAGACGGTCAGTCCACTGCTTGTCTGGCAAGGCCACAGCCCCTGGTAAGATCAATGGCTGCTTTTCAGAGGCAAAAAGAGCATACTTGCCAAGCTCTATAAGTGGATGGAGGCAAAAACTCAAACACAGACAGAATGCCCATGAGTTAAATCTGGGAATTTATCTTGTAGAATCAAGATTCAAAACATAACACAGTACAGGAAAGGATACATGAAAGATGAAAGAGTATGGATTCTTTGTTTGTTATTGAATTTTTTTTTTTTAAACTATGAGCACAGCAGAAAGTAAAAGTGTTATTATGAGGCTTGTTCTCTATTATACTAAATGCTTTGGATTTACAGGAAAACAAATCAGGAAGTACCTTGAAAAATGAATCAGGAAATAACAAGAATCAAACCTTACCAGAGATTTGTTGTCCTGCTTGTGGATTGTTACTATCCGACTCTCAGAGGAATCATCTTTGCTATCTTGTTTAATGCTCACATCAATGATATCAGGAAAGTCACAATAAGTTTGCAAATCCTGCAAAAAAATGCACAGGGAAATTGTCTCGTAATCTAAAACTCTTGTTGCACTCTTATAGCAATGGTATTCTACAACTGACTAGACCAGAATAGAGAAGATATTATGATTTGTATGATGAGAGAAGAAGCACTCAGGGCCAATAATTTATGATAAAGAATATTAAAGTCTAAAATCAGCCAAAACATTCTTCCCATTCTGGATAGCATGGGGAAGGATTGGAATATCTTTTTATTGCTGCCAATGGCTTCTGATGCTGCCTTAGTCCCTGTGAGTAAAGGGAGAGAGCAGAGAAGCCAGGCACAGCGCTGGATTGAGGACTCAAACATTTAGGGAGGTGGGGGAGGACATTAAGCTGTAATTAATTTTTTTACCTTAATGCAAGGAATGCATTAAAAAGTAAAAATGTTTTAGCTTTAGAACCGCTTTAATGTCTTAGGGTGACAATGCGCTTTCATTGTACTACATTACACTGAGGATCACTTTTGTCACCCTATAATGCTCATTCCCAAGTTGGACTACAGAAAACCTCCCACTCTCCATAACATAGTGGAGGTGTTCAGTGGCGTGGAACTGGGCAGGGCTAATTACACTGTTTGTGAATTCAGTGCAGCACATGCAAAGTGCACAGGAAGTTACAAGCTCAATGGGAATTTCTAGAAGGATCAACAGGTATTTTTGCACTTATTGGACAGATTTAATCAAACTGTCAATTGTAAATTTAACGGACCAAAATATGGGGAAATAGAAAGACACATTTTTAGGGTTTACATACACTTTCATCCCTAAAACCACCATTACTAAAATCTTCGAAAATTGAAGAATATTATTGCATGCTGTGGGGCAAGCATCATATTTCCTCAATGTTCTTTTAAAGTAGACATTTAATCAAGTTATACTGTCTGTTACACTGCATGCCAGATTCCCTTAATGCAGCCCTCTATTAACAACTAAAGCTGGCCATGTATAAGATGAAATTTGGCCAGTTAAGCAAAGACCTAAGGAATCTTGATCCATGTATGGCCACTGTGGTTGAGCAGAAGTTGATCTACGGAAAACTGCTCGACCAGCAAAGAAGGCTGTAGTTTGTATTCTGATGGTGGGTTAGATTCCCTGCTGTCAGAATATGACACACTGGGAAGGATTCCCCTATCCACCTTGAATGTGTGGATGGGGGAATCAGGTCAGTTTTTTTTTTGTTCAAACCACTGGTTGAACAATAATAAATGGACTCATACGCTAGTGGACTCCAGCAAAGGAGGATACAATGCTGCAAAGTTAGCACGGGTGAAGTTTAGATTTTCTTCAAACTAACTAGACAAGCTCAAAAAGACAGAGGTGTCTCTTGATACAATGGACATATAGGTCAGCAGGTCCTGTTTGGCCTTTATACTGAGGATGGGGAATAAAAAAAAATCACACAAAATATTCATGACATCGATTTAGTCTTCTAAAATATATCTATAAAGGGAAAATTCACACTATCACCCCATTAAATCGCAGAGCAGCCAGAGTGATTCACTGCTTAGTCTGCTCTGTGTTACCGGCTGTACAATGGGGCAGTGTGATGCGCAATTCAGTGCATCACACTGCTCCTTTTCTTTTGTACTAGCTTTATTTGAAGTGCAATGAGCTGCCTGACATTGCAGTGTGATTCGGGCTGGTGCGCTACGGTAAAATGCAGTATATCAGCATTTTAGAGCAGTGCTAGGCTGTGTTGAAGTATGAATGTAACACACAGGAAACAATTGTTTTCTGTGTGTCCTTATGGTTACAGACGTTTTACAATGTGGTAAAACGTCTGTCACCACGTAGAGTGCGAACTGGCCCTAACCAAAAAAGTTTTTCTTCTTAGTTTTGTATTCAGCAGGGAAGAGTTACAACCGCTGCCAGTTCATTTTTTTCACTGTGTGTACCATTCAGTAAATTTCCTTTCATTTCTGTCCCAAAAGCAAAATATGAAGTTTAGAAGAAATCTCCTATGGTGGGGGTAATTCCCCTCTTTCTTGTCCTTGGAACAGGTGGGGAATACATAAGCTTTATCTGCTTTTGGGACAGATGGTGATACAGCCATCTTGGTTGCAGAAGTGGAACCAACATGTCTTTGGAGTGTGGAGGGAAACCTACATAAACACAGGAAGAACACGACAACTCCATGCAGATAGTGTCCTGACCAAGTCTCAAACTAAGGCCCCTAGTGCAAAGCAGAAGTGTTAACCACAAAGCCATTGTATTGCCCTAGATATACACTAAATAATTACATTACAATACAAAAAAGATTTCAAACAGAATATAATAAATAGGTTTACCTGGTCATCCAATGAGTCTTTGTCATCCGATCTGCCCCTTAAATATCGAATTCCATCATTTCCACTTACTACAATTGTTGCAAAAATCTCTCCCCCTAGTGAGTCTCTGAAGGCCTCCTTAACTTGAAATTGTTCAGAATAAAACGCTGACTGGAGGGTCTCAAGATTTATGAGATATTTAAGTTTTAAGTCTCTGGCAGTAGCCTTACACTGACTGAATTGCTGAATGAACCTTCGAAATCTATACCGTATCCTCTTGCGAGTCAAAATGTGGTAGTCCTGAATTTTGGCACGTATACACTTTGGCAAAAACTTTTTGTAACTGTTTAAAAAGAAAAAACAATGTTTATTTATTAAATTCATAACCACAAAGTATTAACACGTGTTTTCATAATATTCCTAATGCAAATGTTCTTTGAATTGGCTGTTCAATACGTTGCCTTTGTAATTATGCAGTGACCGCTGAATAAAGCTTTGGACCTGTCTGAAGACTCCTTGGTGTGTTGGTGACATATTTGCAGCTTCAAGTTGTCTGCTTTTATGCTTTTTGCTGTCATATATAAAGGATTAGGAGTGGTCGCTAGCTGATATGGAAAGTAAAACTGCTCTATCCAAGAAATGAATTTTCCGGCAGCAGCTTTATTCTTCCAGAGAGGTGCATTTATTGGGTCCCAGCACAGGTACAGACAAAGCAGATTGACAGGATACTTAGAATATTCATGCAACAATCAGACACCTTCAGAGGACTCAATTTCTCCTGTCATAACTCAGCCAAAAGAACCTTTCCTAATATATATGTTTTCCCCATTCAGTAAAATATCAAGCAATATGATTGGTCAGTTTTAGTAGCCCCTTTGATCTTCTCGGTGACAGGTAATGCCTTTTGGCCGTGTACAGGTTATTTACAGGGTATTCTGGAATATAGAGCTGCCTTAGTTTATGTCGTATATCTGCCTGGAATTAATCTATACAATCAGGGGGTATTGATTTAAAATTCATGGAGGTCCGGTCAGAAAAATGTTCTTGGAGCAGAGGTCCAATTCGCATATTTGTCTGATAACTCAGATCCTTTACATCGCAGCCCCTTCACATTTATATCACAGTCACCCCTTTACATCAGTGTCCTCAGTCTCCCCACCCTACTTCACATCACAGTTCCTCCCCCCACATCAAAGTCTCCCCTCCCTTTACATCACAGTTCCCCCTCTTTATGTCACAGTTCCTCCTTCGTGTCAGTGTGACCCACCATCCCTTAGCCCCCCCATCATAACACTAGAACCCCCCTTTTTTATAGCAGTGTCTTGAGCCCCCTTTATAGCAGTGTCCCCCCCCATAGCAACATCCTGAGCCCCCCTCTACAGCAGTGTCCTACCCTCCCACCCCTTTACAGCAATGTCCTGTTAAAATAAGTTATCTCCCACACTTCTTAAGGATTGCCACATCTGCAAGTCTTTTTAATCTTATGAGATCAGTCCAATAGATTGCTCCTGATGAAAAATTCAATCTGTCTGACGTAAAAAGGTACCCATAATAACTGCACTTTTATTAAAAGGAAAAGGTTTGCATTCTAGAATAAAAAGTTACCTGACAGCATTGTAAATTGCAATTGGGCTTTGTTCTTTTTCACTGGCTATACGCATCATGTCAAGAACAGCCATCCCTAGGCATTCCTCCTGTGTTTCATGTGTAATGGGCACGGTGATCCAGCCATTGACAAAATCATCTCTCCACTAAACATAAGGAAAAAAAAAAAACAGAAATTCTGTTACAGTATTTTTAATGCTTTAAAAGCAAAATAAAAAGGCATGCACATGCTCAAAAGATCAACAAATTTGGTTACACTGGTCATATCTAAAAGGTAATTAGCCATGGAGGATACACTCATTCCCACACCTTTGAGCTACAACTACACAAACGATATCCTACTTAGTCATAGCGAGCAGGTGAGCTATGTCAGCACCTATTGCAACCCACGTAAGTGAGCAATCAGTGCCCACAAGGGTCACCCAATGGTCCAACAACATAGTCAACATCACCTGCCAATAATGCATAGGGAGAGAAGAAGAGTAAAAGAGGAAGGAAAAGACAAGGAAGATGTAGAAAAATAGTAAGGAGCTGTTCCACCCAGAACAACTCCCACATCCCCATCATTACCACACATTCAGATAGGGGGATTATCTGTCCAGGGGTCCCAGACTTTCAAATCTGGCCTGCTTATCCCTTGAAATACTGGTCAGCTTTCCATGGAGCATTATCCAAAAAAACTGTGCTCTTGGTCGTGACAATATTTGGATATGCCGTACAGCGTGTCATTGAAAATCGCCATCTCGGCAGTAAAAACTCTAGTCTAAAGACGATGGACTTTAGGACAAGACTACCAAACGTGGTACATAGTGCCAGATCAGTAAATTCTAAAAATATTCTTAATCTACTATCCTACTTAGTGCAGTTTTAAAATTGGCCACATACAATCTTATTTAACAAGTTTGAGCCCCTCCGTTACATGGATCAACATTACCAGTGCATGTTGCACTGTTATATTTCCAATATTCATAAAATCATTAATTGCATATCTAATTAAAAAAGGCATTGAAGCTTTGAAGCCTGGAAGACCAGAGCAAACATCTCCCCAGAATATCCACTAATAACACATTTTTATGAGTATTTTTTAATTCAACTACAACTTTTTTTTAATGAAAACTCTAAACATAAGATCAGATGTTTTTTAACATATGCAATAGGCCGCTACTTCGCACAACAGTGATCTTAGATCACACTAGGCACACACACACGGATAAAGTTGTTAGTAGCCTTATAGCTAATTGAAACAATGCTTTATTACTTCTGAAAAGTGATAACAAATTGTCTCTTTTATACTCTACATGCCTTTGGTATATTAGAGAAAGCCAAAGAAAGTGCGAAAAGTAAAAATTATTACATAGATATTCTAAAATGGTCTGGACAGATTTGTTGTGACCCCTAGAAAAGAATAAAAATAATTGGATCATAGTAATAATGCAAACTAACAGCTTTGTGTAATCAGTATAACACGTCTTCATTTTGTAATTGGCTAGTCCGCCTTTTTAAATGGAGAAAAGTAGTCACTTTGTTGTTTGCTACCATCATGTGTATGACACTAACATGGATCAGAGTAGGCAAAGAAAAAAAGTTGAAAAATCACCTATATGTTTTAAGTATTATTATACAGGATTTATATAGCCCCAACAGTTTGCACAGAGCTTTACAATGTGAGGGCAAACAGTACAGTTACAATACAACTGAATACAGGAGGAATCAGAGGGCCCTGCTCGTTAGAGCTTACAATCTAAAAATGCATTCAATTTAGATCATAGAAATGAGGCACCGCTGTGATTTTAAAGCTAATAAAGGTGCAATTCCACAAACAAATGTGTATCCAACAATTAATTACAAAATTAGAGTGTCTATGGTACATCAAGGCAAAGTTCAAACAACACCCATGATTTTTGTGGGTAGTAGAAATTCACAGATAAATTCTTTCTTCATTTGACCATGGGAAAAAGTGCTTAAGACCTTTCCCCAAGAGTAGTCTCACTCACCAAAACAAAATGCCTCTCATACTTCAATGATGGGCATAAAGTGCTCACTCGGTGTCATCTTTGTCCTAGGATATGCTGTGTCAAACATGGTTCACTTTAGACAATCCGTTATTGATCCCATGGCAAAGGGGGAAAAAAAAAGACTCTGATAGTGTAATACCTTCTAACATTTGCATTGGTAGAAATTATTTGATTGATTCACTTTAGGCAGTACACATATTAATACAGAATACAATTTTAATGTTTGAGCATTCATTTATTCACATTTGGTTTTGTTCAGCTGTAAGACCATCTCTAAAAAGCTCGATTTTTCTTTGACAAAAGTTACAAATATTAAGTTTAAGGTCCAAGGGAGTGTAGTCAACATCCCTGAACATGGCCACAGGAGGAAAGTCTATTTCAGAGTAGAAGGATGGACCATCAATAACTGCACCATCATTTGCTTTTGAAGCCAACAGTGGGCTCAAAGGAGGAAGAGCCACAGGCAATCCACTATTAAAACAAAATAAATAAACCCAACTGTAATTCTGTACAATGCATACAGACAAGCCATACTCCTAGGAAAGCGCGTTCTTTGGTTGCTTACAGCATCTGGTATGTCTTGAATCTGTACAGAGCACAGTAAAATCTCAAGATTATCAAGGAATTCTGGACTGAATCATACTGCCCAGTGTCAGAAATTCTATATCAGTTGCAGGTCACAGATCCTTCAACAAGACAACCCAAATCACACAACTAAAAGCACCCCAGAATGGCCAAGAACAAAAAATTGGAATATTCTGAAGAGGCTTTCTATGAGCCCCGATTGGATTCCTATCAAACATCTATGAAAAGAGGTGAAATATGCAGTCTGGAGAAGACCTCATTTAAATTGCTACTAAACCATGGCCCTGCACTTACTTTATCTGGTCTCCCACAGTAACCAGAGCATGGAAATGCAATTAGTTTAGTAACTATAAGCTGCTAAATACCTTTTTTCTTCAACAGTATATAGCAGTCTTGTGACTTCTATCAGTGTCTGGCTAAGCACTGGTTAAAGCTTGTAGGAGGAGTTTTCATTCACCTCCAAATGTCTCATGAGGCTGCATGACCCCTAACCCCATCTAAACAGTGCTGATTGGCCCCTCTGCTGATTACATGCACCCCCCCCAAAAAAAAAAAAAAAAAAAAAACCTCTCTAGCAATACACACACCAAACTGAGCATTTGCAGCATGCCTCCTAGGGCTCGCTACTATTAGTGGATAAATTGGGGACAGTGGAAGCGGTGGATCACAGAGGACAGGATTGAAAAAAAAAGAAAAAAAGTTTTTCCCCCATTGCGGAGGATTAACCCCGCTTAGGTTCCACAGTGAGTATAATAAGCATGATTTACTGCATATATAGACTGATTTTACTGTTGTGGGTTTAGTAACAATGTAAACCAAAAACAGCTGGAGTACTTTAGAGTGGTCAAACTACCTACCTTTGGCCAGGTGCTGAAGTTAAAGCTACAGAAATTGCTTGGCTGCAGTGATTGCCTCTAAAGGCTGTGCAATATTAGGTTGCGGTCCCATATTTAAAATATTTTTGCGAAATCAAAAATTGAGCACAAAGTCTGATTTAATTAAATAAAAAATGATGGAAACCAAATTACTTTGGCTATTTCAATATATTTTAGAGACAATTGTGCATTCTTATTTTTTTTATGGAATGGCACCAACAAATTTGTCCATGCTTTACAACAGCCATACTTATGTGAGAGTGCATTTAACAGTTAATATAATACTGCCCAGAGTCTATAATCAACCACATTTGGTGGGGAAAATCTTTGCACATTTAATATTCCATTAATGTCTCTTATACAACCCTCAGTAATATAGATTAGTTGGAAAAAACTATTCTCGGTAAGTATATTATTCATTTCCACAACAAACTAAATGGGTATTCCCCAAAACGCAGAGGAAAATTTGACATTGTATTTTACAAAGATTTTACATACAACACCAATGCTGTTCCCACTCACTTAACTGATTTGGGAGGTGTTTCTATGCATACTTGTTCTACCTCTGCAGTTTCATTATAGGCTTGTTGTCCAGTGCTTTATAACCACGCTTTTTATACAGCATATTTTTAATGCCACATAGATTTTATCCTTCTCATAATACGTGTGAATTTCTGCATACATCTGCATGTCAGCTTTATTCTGGCTCATATTTTAAAAAAAAACAAACAAAAAAACTTGGTATAGGTCCTGTTTATAAATAAACAATTGAAATATTTTAGCTATGCCTATTTAAATGAAGAAATACATTTATTTCCACATAGGAAAAAAAGCCCTTAAAATAAATGATCAACAGAACTGGCATGCTGCTGAGTTCATGGTAACATATAACAATTACATAAATTGTCACATGATCCAAAAATGATAAGGAATTGAATGGATAAAGGCTATTTGCAGAGCAGAAAAAATGATCTCTGGTGTAGTTCAGGCATCAGCAGTCCATGCACTGGCTCCAACTCTGCACAAAAGATTAAGAACATAATTGGGAACATGCTGTCCTTTCTGTGGACACACGAACTTCGCACAGGAAAGAAAAAGCAGCTTATTAACACAAAGGTGACAGGAACATTCTAGCTGCAAAAGTATATATTAGAAAGTGAATATCTATGCATGTATATTTCTTGGCTTGCACATGTTTTTATTTCCTGTCTAAAAAGTCATTTTATGCATTTGTACATATGGTAGACAAAGTCTATTTCTAGGTAGCATCCAACAACCTTCATTTAAAATAATAACAGTTAAGAGCTGCCCTAAAATACTTGTCAAAAAAGGTTTTTCAGGCTCCCATGGTGAATGGTCATGCAACTATGTGTACTGCATCAAAGTTCAGATTGGCTGTTTTCTGCCTTGATATTATTCCTGTCAAGGGAAAAAAAAAAAATCTTAATTTGGAATCACGTGACCATGCCTACGCACTAGGGTCTAGTGACTGGATGTTGATATGGGAGCGCAAAGTAGCTTTCTCTGCAAAAGGTGAATGTGTGTGTTCTACGATACCTACTAGATTAGGTATGATCTTGTGGGATCAGGGACAGGTTA